TTTTTTGTAACTTGTATCATATTTAAGAAAGTTCCATCAGTTGAGATCTGAACTCATTTTCTGATCTCTGATTTCAATCTTTTTCTGTATGTTCAGATCTTATATTCTTCTGAATATTCATTTTCTGGATCTACTATTATCATAGTAACAAGATCATTAATGAATAATTAGTCCTAAAATCAACAACAGTTTACAAATGGTTCAACAATGGTTTAGAAATGCTTTAGAAATGATTTATTAACAGATTTCATTTATTTTTATCTTTTATCTTTTCTTTTCAGAACATATATCTTATCTTTTTATTTTTATTTTATCATTTGTATTATTATTTAACTTACCACATGTATCTTATCTCTTATTTTTACTTGTTCATTTATTGATCCTTTGCCCCAAAGATTGTAATTATAATCTAAAGTAGCAAATGAGTTTAGATAGAAACTTGTAAAACCTCAAAAATATATAAATATCTCTGCTCTGAGACCTGAAATAAATATACTTGAATAGCAATAATTCAATTGTCTTTTGAAAACACTTGAGTTATACTTATTTTGTAATTTTCTCTGTGAATTTATCTTGATATTCTACTTTCAATTACCTCTTCTATCATAATAAATTATATTTTGATTGAAAAGGTTCTTGATAGCTTTCCTACATGCAAAAGCTTGAATTTGGTATTTGTTACCTCTATTTGAAAAAGGTTTGGTAAGCTTTCCTACATATAAAAGCTTTATTTGGCATTTGTTATCTTTGTTTTATTTGATATTGGTTATCTTAGTTTTGTTTGCATTTGTTGCAATTGTTTTAGTATTTATTACTAGTTTTTAAGCATTTGTTATTTAGTTTTTAGAATCATCCCCTTAGTTTAGTATTCATAATCACAACTTTATTTTTATAATTTCATTTTATTTTATAAATATTGGTACTAGAAAATCTTTAGAATAATTGTAATTTCCTTTACCTTTATAAATAATTCAATCTTCACTCTTAAAACTTATTATAAACTATATTCATAATAAAATCTACCTTCTAGAGTATAGTTTATAATAATATCAAGAATAAAATTAAGAATTGTAAAATACTAGTGATAATACTAATTTAACTAATTTTAATATTATTAATAAGTTAACTAATAATAATATATTATATATAATTAATTTAAAGATAAAATTCTTTAGATAAAAAATATTATTTTAGCTAATAATAATATAATTATTATACTATTAATATTAATATATACTATTTTTGATAAAAATTAATATCTAATAGATAATTAATAAATTTAACTCTTAATATTTCTAATATTAATATAGAAGATAATAATATTATTATTAATATTTATATTAGATAAGTAATATATTAATTTAGAATTATTTAATAATTATTACTAAAAAATCAAAAGTTATATTTAATAATATTATTCAAGAAACTAATTCTATAAACTAATTCTATACATAATTAAAAAAAATAATTATATTTATTTATTTAGTATTTTTAATATTAAATCAGAAAGAATAATTAGATAATAATTCTTTTAAGATTTTTTTTAATAATAAATTAAAAATAATATATATTGATCTTGAAAATTCAATTTTCATTTTATTATTAAAATTAGAATAAAAGAATAATTAATAATAATCAGTTATCAAGAGATATGATTAATTCTATTTCTTTCCATCACTCACTCTCAAATTATTTATCATAAATCTGTAATTCCTAATCATTTTTAATCTCAGTTTTTTTAATATAATAAAGCAAATTTATCACTAGCTTTAGATTAAAGTAGAAGAGCTTTAATACTTTGAATTATTGGTTAATAATAAAAAATATATTCTGTTTCTTGAAAATTAGTTATAGGTGCTTTTTTAAAATTAAGATATAAAAATCTAGTATTATTAAGAAACTCATAATCCTCTTTGATACTTTTAGATAAAGGACTTTTTTTTATGTTAGTACTTATATTAAACTATTTAATTATTTTATTAAATTAAAAGATAGAAAGCTGAATTAATATTAGAATAATATAATTTTAATTCTTATTCAGTTCCCTTTTATTTATAATCTAAAACTAATATAAAAGATAATTACTTGAGTAATATAAATATGAATAAAAATAAAATAAAAAGTTTTATAAAATTTATTATAACTTTATCACAATCTTAATTTACTATTTCTAAATTTCAGAAAGAATATTCTAATTAAATTATACTTTTATAAAATAATTTCAAAAAACTTATAATAGATTTGAAAAAAGTTATTATTAAAAAATAATAAACTTTGAAAAAATCTTTCAAATTAAAAAAAAATAGATATTATTATGAAATATTTTTTAAATAAAGTTATAAATAATATAAGTTTATCTAAAAAGAATTATAATTATGATTTAATTAAAGATTTGAGATTATAATTTGAGTAGTTGAGAATTAATCAAGCAAAATTAATTTAAATAATATATATAATTTCAAAATTTTTTTAATATAAATATTTAAAATATAATAAATCAGATTATAATTCTTGTAATTACTTTAAAAATAAAAAGAAAAATAAGTTTAGTTATTCTAAAAAAAATAAATTTAAGAAAAAAACAAGATTAATTTTGTTATTATAAATTCAAATTCTAAATATGATACTAGTTCTTCTAATAATAAATCTAATTCTGACTCTGATTTTGAATTTGATTTTGAATTAAAATCTAATTCTAAGAATAATTTAATTGAAACTAAAATTTTAAAAATTATTAATACTATCAAAGTAAAAAAAATAAGTAAAGTTTAAATCTAAAAAAGAATTCAAATTTTACAAAAAGAAATAGAAGAAAAATTTTATTACTGATAAATTTTAAAATAAATTAATTATTATTGATAAATTTCTTTAAAAAGATTATACTAGATATGTTTGATAATATTATACCTGTAGATTAGATAAAAAAAACTCAAAGTTAAGATTAAAAACTCTTTTAATATATTCTTATCCATTAAAAAATTTAAATTTTATAAATTATCAAGAACTAGTTCTAGCAATATCTAATTCAGAGAAGAAAGAAGAAATATTGAATAATCATATAAAAATAGACTTTATTAAAAAGAAAAAGCTAATAATAAGTATTATAATTATACTAATTAAAATATATTTTGATTAGTATTGATTATAATAATAAGAATTCATTATTTTATTTTGCATTTCTATTTTTATTTCTTTGATATTGATAATTTATTTAACTAATTCACTATTTTATTTTTTATTTAAAATGTAAGAAATCAATAATTTTATTTTGCATCTTTTATTTTAATTTTCTTTGATATTGATAATTTATTTAACTAATCTATTATTCTATTTTTTATTTAATTGATAAGAGATTAATGATTTTATTTTGCATCTTTCATTTTGATATTGATAATTTATTTAACTAAGTTATTATTCAATCTTTTATTTAATTAGTAAGAGATCAATGATTTTATTTGCATCTTTCATTTTAATTTCCTTTGATATTGATAATTTATTTAACTAATTCATTATTTAGTTGGTAAGAAATATTTTGCATCTTTCATTTTAATTTCCTTTGATATTGATAATTTATTTAACTAATCCATTATTCTATTTTTTATTTAGCTGATAAGAAATCAACGATTTATTTTGCATTTTAGGTAGAAAATTGACTATTTTTCCTTAGATATCAGTCTACTATATTTAATACACTTTTTTACCATTCGTCTAATAAGGGTTGTTGATAAGAAATAATAAGCTCTTTTTTCTTTTTTATTTACAGTATATTAATTTATCCTATTTTTAATTTGTATATAGGACTCGATATTATAAAGTCTATGGGATAACACACGATTCTTCAAAAGGAAAATACTTTTTAGTTATTAATTATGCCAGCCTTGGTGATCTGCGCCATTATCTACAAAAGCAATTCACCGAAATATCATGGAATCATCGCATAAAAGTGCTAGATGATATTTGTACTGATCTTCAGTCTATTCATTCAAAAGGTATTATACATGGTGATCTGCATCCTGGAAATATTCTTCGATTAAGTGAATATGTAACTACAATCTCTGGTATAGGTGCTGCAATCAGACAAAATGAAAAACGCAAAATGTTTGGTGTGATGCCATTCATTGCACCAGAGGTTTTACGAGGAGAGGCAATGCATCAGATGTCTATGCATTGGGAATGGTCATGTGGGAGTGGGGTGTTGGTAAACCGCCATTCGGTAAACATCCCTTCGATGGTGCTTTAGCCATTGATATATGCAAGAGGTTGCGACCAGAATTACCGAAAGGATTACCTGATTTTTACCACGACTTGATTGTACGTTGTTGGCATCAAAATCCTTCACAAGGACCAACTTCCAAAGAGATTTGCTATATCGTTAAAAAATGGTATCGATACCAAACTACAGAAATGAAAAAACAAATAAATACCGCTGAGGAGTTTAGAATTGCAAATGCATCCAAATATGATTCTGAAGAAAGTTACACGATGCATCCTTTAGCCGTTTATACGAGCAAAGTTTTGCCGAATGTGAATCAGGAAGGTTGGTACTTTTCAATACATTAGAATATCAAACAGTTGAAGTTGATTTCGATCTCGATGATTTGGAAATTTAGGGTGGAGCAAGCCGATTCGATTAAAGATTGAGAATTCGGATATTATTATTGTACTCAGCTATGTTTCGTCTTTGTAATAAAATGGATTCCTTTATAAATTTTGATTGGGTTTAACTACAATGTTACATGTATATATTAAAATACGAGAAAATATAAAAAATTTGAATTACATTAATACAGTCTGATGTTCTGCCATCCATTTCGCCAGCTTTTCTATTAGGTGTCTCTTCTCTCATATTCCTCTTTTTCCAATCTGTTTCTGCTAATTCTTTTTTCCTTGCAATCCAACTTAATTCAGTTATATTTGATATTAGTCATCCAATTTGTATAGATGTTGATTGGAAAAATTTGTTGATTGAATACATAATATGAACCTTCTGTGATACAAACCTATTCTACAGTCGTGACACCGAGATGGTTCATCACGACTTCATTGGTGACTTCAGTCGCAAGGAATAAATATGATATAGCATCCAGTTGGTATATGTACTATGCGATAAGTGTGAAGAAAAATAGGGAGGAATGAGATGAGGATGATGCTATATTTTTTGCTAGTTTGATTTACTTACTATGTTCACTTTGTCTGGTTTTGTTGCAGCACACCCCATATAAGTTGTGCTAAGTCTCAAAAATTAATATCAGACTCTCATAGATCCCGAAATATCAATTAATCCATAATCAAGATATCCAGAATATTATAACCGCAATATACTATATGTCAGCGCCTCAAATTTGACTACTTAAAAATTGCTTTGTTGGGGCTAAATTGTATCAAAAAATCACAACCTCAAGAAAAAAGAGAGTAATTGTTTATTACAAAGTCGTTTATACAGTGAATTAGCCAAAAAGAGCATGGAGGAATATAAGAAACTAACTGGCGAATTTTAGGATTAAGGAGTTTTCATCCTTTATTTTAATCTTTCCCAAATTAAACCTTGCTGAAAAAAAAATGTTGAGACCAAAACTACTAATCGTTTTAAATGAATTTTTCCATTACAGATCTTGCGATTTGATTGGTCTGCCCCTTGAAAAGCAAAAATAAGGTTAGTCAAACTTTAGACTCGAACAAATATTATCAGAAAGGAAGTAAATTTTTTTTTGCTGGAATATAGAGAAGTGGCGTTGCGGGAATCTAAGAGTTTCCTGTTATCAAAATCTAGTAGTCGAGCCACAAAACCAGTATTAAGGCACGGGCAATCTCTTAGTTTGGCCGATGTTCAAGTCTTTTAATCGACTCAATCTCTTAGTTTAGCCGATTATCTTTAGTCGACTCGATACTGGTCCGTTAGGTGGTCACAGTCAATCTTTTAGTTTTTCTGTGTTTAAGTCTATTAGTCGACCTGATGGATGAAAATCAAATGAAATTTTAGACATACTAGTTGAGAATATTACTAATACCTCAATCGTCTGTGCTATCAAGTTGCACGACACTGGAGAGGTCAATGGTACAGAAAACGTATTCGTATCCCGTAATTAATTACAGATATGCGGTAGTGATAATAGCATTCTTAAACGAATACGTGAGCGGATGAAGACGATTCGAAATCTCGAGTACGCTAAAACAGGAAAAAACTCAAGGCAAGAATAAGGCGCGTAAGACATTCGATAAACCTTCGTTTCACTTCTACAAAATCTCTGTGGTTGGATTAACTCAAGGGGGAACTATTCCTACTGAAGGTGGACTTATATCAAGCGCATTATTGACTCTGAACTAGGAAAGAAGCACGAAAAGCAGAAGGCTTCTCGATATTAGAGGTTTGAATAAATTAATCAAAAATCAAATTGGAACAGTATTTATATATTATTCCAAATATCTAGATTATCTTATTATGCAAAAAAAAATAAGTTCAGTTTTTAATTAATGCTTCGAATTATTGACGTTTGATTTATCCCGGTTACATATATTGACAATTTCTCGTGTTAATATAATGGACTGACATCCGTAGTAAATAATGGCGTTTTGATGTCAAAAAAAAAATGAATTGTAGAATTTCAGTTGTCTAGACAAAAAATTTACAAAAGTTTGGCATTTATTGAATAAGCAATCTATTGTACATTCAATAGTTTTTTAAATCTTGAAAAGAAAATACAAATAATTTAAGTCTAATATTCCTCTGAAAATTAATAATGTCAATAGTCCACTTCCAAAATACGTCCCTCAATAACTGGTGCCACAGTAACCCAGTCCTTCATAAAATCCAAAGTAATCTTCTTTGGTTCTTTTTTAGCTTCTTCACCCACCGACTCAGGAGTCAATGTTATCTTTTCACCCATTGACAATTGTAGTGCATCAGAAATGCTGCGTTTTGACAGGTGACGATGATGACCATGTTGAAAATTGGCGGTTTTCTTTTCAATAAATTTTTTCCAGGTAGCAACAGCTTTAAGGACTGCTTCACGTGTTCTTTCTTCGCAGGATTTATTGAATCGCATCGCATTAACATAATAAAGACCGATAAAATATCGTCGAAGTAGCGTTGATTGGATAATCCCGTTTTCGTCATCGACGAGATATTTTGTGTTAGATAATGCTAGCGAATGATATCCATCATAGCCTTGGGCCATATAAGCACGTGTACAAACTGTATAAATTTTGTCCATTTCAAGTTCACCAATTATATTAAGTGGAGTAGGTGGAATATTATCGGATTCATCTTCATCTTCATCTTCATCGGTTGGCAAAATTTCTAAAGTGTCTAATGGCGTTGGTGTTGAAGGATGCCGTTCTGTCAACCAGACTTTTCTTAGTCGTTTTCCAGGTTCTGATTTTGGATTATATTCAACTTTGAGACCGCTGAAAATCGGAAATCGTCCTTCTTGTTTTGGAACCATTGAAAATCCATTTTCAAGCGCATCCCATAGTTGCTGTCCAGTGATCTGTACAACAACAAGGGTGTCTTCAAATGGAAAGATTTCCAAAATATCTCCCAAGGTAATTTCACCAGCTATGAAATAGAAAGGTTATTATGATAATAAGCTTACGAAATTCATTAATAATTCATGAAGAACACAAACGTGGGTATACTCTATCAGATCGAATTGCACCACCACACATAAGAGAGCAATCGATATTAGAACTAACACAAGGTGCATATGCATACAGCATCAGATCAGCAACAAAGTTTCCAAATCCCGATTCTTGAGTGCGAACTGTAGTTGATCTACAATCCCAAGGCGTGTTGGTATAGGCAATGGGTTTTGACATTTTTTCAGTGATTGATGAAGTTGCTTGACTTATTAATTCTGCAATTCGAGGATGTTCGCTTATAGCAGAGGTAATCTCACGACGGGTAACTATTTAAATCGCTATTGTTGTTACTACCACTATCGTTATCAAATTATTGGTATTAAATAAGACTGATTACCTAAAATATTTTTCATGATTTTAATCGTGCCACCATCTTCGTTATCCAACTCTTCGACATCAATCTCCAAAATGCTCAATTCTCGAAAATCTGTACCACTTTTGACCACTCGAACCCCATCATCCTCTTGACTTCCATCTAGATCATGACGTGTCCAGCCACTTAATACCTCACATCCTTTTCCCACATAATAAAAATGGTCATGACTTTGTTAAATAGAGATGAAAAAATAATTTTCAGTTTTTATAACAAGTGAGTTAAAAAAATTTATGAATAAGACATACTTACCCTCCGAGTACTAAATCAATCTCGTCTTGGCATTTTTTCGCTAATATGATGTCATTTGGTAGACGCGAATGAGAAAGGGCAATAACAAGATCTACAGCATAAGGTCCTGCTGGATCACGAAGCTTTGCAGCAAGCTCTTTACCAACCTCCACGAAATCCAAATACTTTAACGTTGGAGGAAGACTAGAAAAGTGATAGCAATATTTTATATCAGATTAAATCGAAGAAAATAAGTATAACTAATCAATTTCACCCTAACCTGGGAATTGTTTCGAGCCATTCTCTGGAAACAAGCAAAACCACGATTACCATAGCCGAGAAATTATTTCAGTTTAAAAAATTTATAGGTCATAAAAACGTATAATCAAAAAAAAAGAGAACCATAATAAATGATAACACACTTTTCTACCAATCCAAGAAACGCAATCTTTAATCTATTTTTCTCCAAAATATGCCATTTTTTCCCGCCATTAACTGGTGATTCGCCAGTCTTCTCATCAACAACATTTGACAAAAGCCATGGAAAATTAGTTTTTTTGATGAGGCTCGAAAGATTCGGTAAGCCAAAATCAAAATCATGATTTCCAAAACAAGCGACATCAATTTTGAATTCATTTATCGCAGGGATCTTTTAATAATCATAATGAGAATAATGGGATAAATTATCAAACAAATACATCAAATACCTATCGATCTCTAATTTTTATTTATGTTTGATCCCACGCACCATATGTTCACCTTTACTAATACTACTTTCAATTGATGGATTAAACATATCCCCACTAAATAGTACACAACTCTTGTCCACGTCATATTGTTCTCGAAAGTTATAAACTGCGGTAGCGAAACGAGCTGCCCCACCAACTGGCTCCTGTTTTCCCGCTGATAAATGGTAGACATCGTTAAAGTGGAGAATATAAAGTTTACGCATTCTAATTAATGTTTATTTTTCATCTATTAACAAAGAACAGAACCAAAGTATATCGATCGCCTACATAAGCGACATGTGATAGATGCTAATGTCGAAAGAAAAAGCTGGGGGAATGCACTATTGATTTATTTGTGCATAACCAGATCGAGTTAATTAGCAAGGTTGTGAGAACGTATTATTATAATGCATCATATGATATTGATCACTCCACAAACTTGATATATTTTGATGGATAAAGGAGAAGCAGAACAACCATCTATCACATACTTAAGAAAATAGGTGAAATGGAGAAAACAGTTTCAAATGAGTACGAACATTCTATCAAAAACAATACGTATCGTCGACGTTCTTTAAGCCAAACGGAACGCGAAGAACGTGGTACACATGGAAAAACAGGTGTGCACCACAAACGTCATTCAATTCCGCCTGCCCATGCGCACCACCAACCAATCTCAAAATTCAATGCAGAATTTTGGATGCAGGTAAATTAAATTTGTGGCTTGAATATCTTTTGAGATTTTATTTACGAATTCTTAAAACATAAATTCTTTTGACTGTGGCTTTGATTTTCTTTTGGAAATCAGGATTTTAGAAAAAAAGTGATGGAAGCATTATTCAAAGAAGAAAGATTTAAAACCTTTCAGAAACGACGTAATATAGATGCTGTTATAGACGGATTGATGGATATAGAAGATGACGATATTTTCGATTGGAAGGAACAACAGGAGGTAATTTGGTGCTATATCTTTTTTAATCATCTCTCAAAAGTTTATATGTTACATTGGCTCAAAAAAATTCTTTGGAGCCACTACTTTGTGTATATGATCGTACAATTGTCTGTCCGTCTGTTCGTTCGTCCCTTGTATAATAATTATCAGACCGTAGGATCAGCTCATGTTTTACAATATTACGGCGCAAGTCTAAATACTGCTACTGCTGTCGTCGCTGCTACTAGCAATCCTGGATTTGTGCCAACACCACGACAACATCGTGATGTAACTTAATTTTTAATAATTTTGTCATTGTTTGTTTGTATTTAAAACAAAACATAGTTAATTGAACAAGTGGTTCAAAATCAATGGGCGCAGTATCAGCAATCCTCCCCTTCAACTTTTTTCGTTTCTCAGAGTTCTCAAAGTTCTCAAACGACCCAACAAATACAACAACAACAACAATTTGTGAATAATTTGCCAGCCGAAATTGCGAAAGCTGTTCAAACAAAAAATCTGCCACCAGAATTTTATCAATTTAGAGAATGACGCGAAGAATAATAATTCTAATTATACGCTGACCAAGGAACTGATAAGTTGACTTTACTTTATTTCTTGTGCATATTTTTTTTCTTTTTTCTTTTTGAGCTTAAATATGTAAATATTTTCTAAATTATGTTATGGTGATGGTCATCAAGTGTCAACATTCTGAAATATCATTTTAATAATAATAAATAGATTGTACAAATACTTTTATCACGGGATATGAAAATTCATCACAGCCCGAAAATCGGCTATGTTATTTGTTGTATGGCTATGGTTTTTTGGCAATGGATTATTAAATTATGATAGCATTAAAAAAAGATCATCCGTATTGATGATGTTGCAAAGTGGTTAAATCGTCAGATTGCATTAATACCCAAAAGGTAATAATCAAAATTTTTTTCCTGTTTTGAGAGAACATAAAAAGATAAGGTATAATCTAACCGTTTTTTATTTATCAAAGCCTACGAGGTGTGTTTCAAATTGGGGGTAAATCGTAAACATACTTAATTTTTTTGTTGCTCAAATAAACTTACACTAATGCTGGCTTTGGCTTATAGGATTTGCTAAGCCACGTATTTTCCAATCCATCACTCCGTTCAATTTTTTTTTAGCGCGAAATCAACACAAGATTCATAATGCGTAGTTACGATATAATAAACTTGTTTGTGGAGTAGCCTCAAAAAAAAAACGAATTCCGTACTCGCTATATAAAAACGAGATTTTATTTGTTGTGCGTGCTTCAAAAAGATTTTTTTTTTCTTATCTTAGCAGCGTTAGTAATTATTGTTATCTTTTTTTGGTATTTATGACAGCTACACGCATAGAAAAGTAAATAAAAGGTTTGGTTACCGGAGGGCTTTTTCGTTTCGTTAAAGTATGATATCGTTCTTTAAAAAAACTCTGTTAATAAAATTGACATTTTACTCTTCGCTACTCTCTAATGTTGAATGAGAATTCACGGAATTTCGAATGCTATTTTTTAGTTTCTTGCGACAAAGTCACACAAAACGGCTTGACGTTCACTAATAACATACATAATTAATTATGGTCGAACGGTGCTGTTTTTGGTGAGGTTTTTCACCTTTTTTGTTAATGGATACGTTAATACTGTGGAAAAATGTTTCAGTTGTACACTATCAAAATTCTAAAAAAATCAATTTGATCAATAAAAAGTATCGGCCTTCGAACCGCTACTGCCATTATCGCGTTACTTATAGGGGTAAGTGAGTATTTACTCTGATTTTTATTATTTTTTTTTAGGCTAACCTAATCTTCATTTTATGATCACGTGAACATAAAAGGTTATAAGTACCATCATGGCTTTTTCCGTATTTACCGCGCATGCGTTCGGTATTTCTATATAATATTATTTAAGTTCATAGAATAAAAAGATTTATTATGCTCGGTTTGTTAATACAACAAGCTTTTTGATTGCTGGATCGAAAATAAAATAATAGGCGAATATTATTTATCGATTGGTATATGCATTGGACTCGGTGTCGCGTATTCAATTAAAGCGTTGATTGGGTATGCAGGTCTTGTAGGTGCGATCACGGTAAGGATCACTCCTATTGTTTATTATCAACAGCTATGAAAATGCGATTTCTGATTTTTTACTTGATTATAAAATTCAATGCAGAAAAACTTAAAGATCGTCCGTGTATTTTCTTTACTACTTTGGATAATCGCAGTGCTAACTGTTGTAATGTCAGTCATTGAATTGTATTTCTTATACAAGGATTATGATTTACTAAAAGAGCTGTGTACCGATGAACTTACCGAACAGAAGGAAAATGGAACTGATATAGATCCAACTAAGTCTTGGACACAGACTTGGCAGAAACGTAGTTTGCTTGTTAGAGAGCCTCAACCTTTTATCATTGATAAGAGAGATGTCTTGTTATTTGCCCGGTTTCCTCAGGAGAATAACAACAACAATAATAACAACAACAATAATAACAACAACAATAATAACAACAACAATAATAACAATAATAATAATAATACAAATTCATCCTCGGCTTCAAGTAATAATGTAAACAGCAACAACACAACAAAATCAAACAGCGATTTCGGAAATTCTACTATCACTCATGCTAGTCCTTCTTCAACACAAATGAATTACACTGCTAGTAATAATGGCAACAGCACATTAACAAAGGATGATCTAGAAGATGTTGATAACGTATGTACAAAGTTTATCCGATGGTTTACTTATCCATTGACAACTCTTTCTCAAATCGTTGGAATTTTATTTACGGTGAGCCAACCATGGATCTCTAATGATCTTTTTTATAATTTATTTATTATATTTTTCATTATCAATAATCCTTTGATTATTTTTGGCTATTATTTAGGTTTATTTTGCGATTATAGTATCACGTTACGTTAAACGGCTTAAACAAGAAGCCAACTTTTACGAAATTAAAAAAAGTATAGAGGCTGATACGCATGCCGGTCGTGGTAGATCCCCATTAAGTCGACTTTCGGGTGATAGCGATGGAAGCGCCGAATTGGATAACGAAAAAAAGTTTCCGAGAGGAATTCATACAGATGTTTAAGATGAATTCCATCTGAATAATTTGTAGTTTTTATTTTTTTCTCTTTCTATAAATTGCAAATTAATTTCTTTGTTTGCGGTTTATCGTAAACATTTCATTATTTGTTGTTTTATCCTGCAAAAGAAAATTTATCGAATTAGAATTACTGTACATAGCATTAAGTATTATCTCTATAATTAAAGTATGTCTATATGCCTGTTTATGTATAAAATGCTATGTTTAATATGTATTTGGAAAATCTGACCAGGGGTCAGAGTAAATGTTAAATATCTAAATTTTTAAATTCCCACGATGAAAAATTGAATTGCTTTCTTGAAATAAATAAATAATGTCACGACAACCTCAATACATAGTCACCAGTTCTTCTTCTTCCTCCTCATATGGTCGTCGTGGGCCTGGTTCAAGCTTTCAGGGATCCTCGAGCGTGTTTAACGAAGACGACCTTCTCGAGACGGATAACCCCATAACAAATTTTCTTCGCGAAGAATTACTTACGCCAGAGAAACGAAATGGAAATTTCCAAATTGTTGGCGTGACTGCGGCATTTGGCTTGGTCATTGCGTTTCTGCGAAATTTTGGTGATTTGTTGGCTGTTTGATACAATGGTTTCGAGATCGTTCTGAGAATGATTGTGAAGAAGTGAGAAAAGTATTCTTAACTATAAAAAATTTTTAAACTTAATTGGATTCGCTTTAGCCTTTTTTTTATAATTATGGATAAAAGAATTATTCAAGAGATCGTTTGGCATAAAAATTGTTTCAATTCCCATATATTATATTATATTTAATTAACGAATTGCAAGTTCCTTCTTGAAATTACTAATTTGTATTAACGTACAACTAGAAATACAATAAAAACATTTATATTTTCAGAACAAGTGTTATCTCGAAGAATCTCATTGAATCAATTCACACCAAAAATTTAACACCCATATCATCAGCGCTCGTCCCTTGAAACACTTGTGCCTGCCCTCGTTTCACTAGCACATCCAATGCTTTCAGAAGCACACTTTGATCTATTTTATGAAATTCTTTTATATTTTTTTTTTTATTAATTTAATTGGAATATTTTAAAAAAATTGGAAAAAAATAAAACTGTAAAATAAAAAATAACAATAATGATAAATCATATACACGCATAAATACCTAAACCCTCTGTAATCTCTCCGTGTGCAATCTCATATAATGTTAATATAGAATTTGTCATCCCATTATCAAAGACCTTTTATATGAAATAAAATCATTTAATATGGATCATGAACTTAATAATTTTAGAAAATTAAATTTTACCAACCCAATTATAAATTAATGTTGCCCATTCTTCTGGTTTCCGCCAATATATTATTGCAGATATTTTTTTATTTGGCGGATCCCATTCTGCTGTGCCTTAATATATATCATTTGTATAAATAAATGACGCCTGAAATCATATATTTTCGAACGGAACTCAATTTTTACCTTCTTTGACCATTTCACTAATTATTGCTTGGAGCGTCTCGAGATTTAAACGGCCTAGCAAAATTAAGTCAATTAATTCCAAGAAAGACGAGAATTCGCCATTTTTTACCTCTTATCTTGAAAACATACGCTTTATAGTCTTATTATAAAAAAGTTCACTATTTAGTGATTCTGATAACTCGAGTCTATATAACCGATAATGTCGAAAATATAATAAAATAATTCGCGACCAATGAGCCACCTTAATATTTAAAAATAATTTAATAAGTCCTTTAAATTCGAGGACCTTGATATAATATGAAGAAGCATCTAAGAACTGAACCTGGTGCTGCCATGTCGACTGTGTGGGCTGAAAACTTTAGATATTGAAAAATATAACCATGAATTTAATAATCGATTTTTACGAGCGGATATTTATGGCGTCCACAACAACACAATGCTTTTCTAGTTTCTCTGACTTGACTTACCTGTAAAAAGGTGGGAACTTGTGTATTGTTGGAAACTTAAAAGATGCCATGATATTAATTTTCTTTTGAATAAAAGTTATATGCATGTGAAATTAACTTCAAAATCACTTGTACAACTTGCAATAACGTGTATAGAAAATCATTACTGTCATTGTTTGTTGACTGATTTTCCACCAGATCAAATCCAAAGATGGCACAAAAAGCACACACAGTTTCTTTCGTTTCTCTCGCTAATTGTTTTATAAATCTTCCTTTAGAGCTGTGCAATTTCTTTCATAACCAAGACCAAGTGGGTGAAGTTATTCATTATATTTTTTTAATTAATAATGTATTTTAATAATATCTTTTGATTTTTTTAATGTAGCCTCCACAAAATGTTGTACTTGAGTTGATTTGGACAGATATAGTGGAAAAAATTCAGCGTAAAGCTTACGTTGGCTGGACTGGTAGCGCATCGAAACAGAGCATTAGACAGCCAAATTCAATAGAAATTGATCCTCAATTTGCTAATGCGTTAAAGTTAGCCGAAGGACAACAGGTAAATTGGATGAATTTATTTCAATTTCTAAAGTCACGTGATGATCTAAAATGTAATAAAATTTTAAGGTCTTTATAAATCTTTGTGATCAAGCACCTTTTGCTAGTTCAGTCTCAGTCGAGCCGGTTAGCGTGGATGATTGGGAAATTGTGGTACGTTTTTATATGACTAACTAATATTGAATTAAATTCGATTTTTATGATTAAGTTTTACTTTCACAGGAATCAAGGCCACAGTATCTAGAAGAACATATTATTAGACAACTACGAGTTGTATATATTAACGAAATTGTGACCCTATGGATAGAAACGACACTTGTTCGTCTAAAAATCGGTATTGAAATAATACGATTTAACTATATATTAGTTGAATTTTGAGAATTACTAATTTTTTTCTTTTACCAGTCGAAATCCAGCCAAAATCTGTAGGAACTTTTGCGAGGCTTAATGGAGAATCAGAAATTTTCGTTGCGCCTAAGCCACGACTAATAACAAATGGATATACAAAACCAGAATCTAAAGATTTGCAAACTGGAGAAGAAAAAGTTTCTCACGTATATGGTTTACGTGTTCTGCCAATGGAATATTTACCATTAGGGCAACTTCAAACGTCTAGAACAAATTTTTGCACCGTTTACGTCAATTCTACAGATTATCTAAATTTGGGACTTTCGACTAATAAAATCACACGGTTGTCCAAAGTTCAATTTCCACCTCCAGCCAAAGATATTTCACATCAAAACAAAGAATCTGAAGAGAAGTTAGATAATGAAAGTGGGAATAACGGATCTCCGGTAATTTATGCGAAAATCATACAGAGCGAAGATGTTGTGGCTGGTCACGTTGTTGTTAGCGAATCTATTAGAGAAATCTTGGAAGCAGAACCTTTCTCGATAGTTCGGTAAATTTAAAACCTACTGTTTATTTGGATCTTTTTGATAATTAATAAAAGTTAACTGATTATAATATATGCAGACTAGCCCAGCCAAAAGTAAATCCGATTGCGATTTCAAGTATCACTCTATGTGCAATTTTATCTACAAGTCAAACGGCACCGTTAAAATTAGTTCCGAATCAAAGGTAAGCACTATTACTCAAGCTTAGAATACTTTGCCTTGTAGTATATCAAAGTATTATTTATTCTGGCTGATTCATTATATAATGCTCAGTGCAGGGGTGACAGCTGAAAAAACAGCTTTTTCAGCTTCTTTGATCAATGCGTTTAAAGGTAAATAAAACCCTAATAAGACTTGTTTTTTTTTTAAATAAAATTACTTTTATTGAAATTTTTGTTGAAATTTAGATTGGGCGAAAGAATTACCCCAAAATTCTGATATTGTGCTTACAAATGGAATGCGAATTCTATTGCCCCAAGGAAACACCAATGTTGTAGTATTCTTTGGGCCAAAACAAGCGAATATTCAGCATGAAATCCGTAATGCAAAGTCTGATTTACATGACCATTATGTAATTGGCGACAAAAACCAATTGTTAAAAGTAAAGATAGAAGTTGGAGATAATATAGCACCTGATTCGAAATTTTTAAGACAGTAAGCTTTACTTTTTCCTCGATATTTTATTATTATATATTAATTTGTGAAAGTATAATTAGGCATATCGCGACTTCTACACCGCCAATACTTGCCGGTGTATCTGATTTAACACGAAAGCTACGTGATTATTTACGATCAAACCTTGCACGTGTTCCTTTACGCGCAGCTTTGGGAGTTCCTGGTAAGTTTTACTATGAAGTTTACTTAAAAATACTTAAATAAATTCTAATTGTTTGATCTCTAAGTATTGGGGGGACTTTTATTCTGTGGTGGACACGGATCTGGTAAAACTAGCATTTCAAAAGCTGTTGCTCATGACTTGAGTCGTGATAAAGATACTTTAGCATGTATGTATGTAATATTGAAGCTTTATTGTATATTTGAATCTTTGAAAGTGATGTTAAACATTGTTAATAGATACCTTGGTGATAAAATGCACCGATGTTGCTGAAGATCGCGTATCTACTATACGCGAAAAATTACAACAATGGTTTGATGATGCTGCATGGCATGCACCAAGTATAATTCTCTTTGATGATCTTGATAGGCTTATACCTGCTGAAGTCGAAGTAAGCATTAGAAATATGTTTGAGATATTAAATTAAGAATATTTACATCATTTAAATCAATTAGCATATGGACTCCTTTCGTTTTCGTCAACTCGCTGAAATTTTCTTTCAAATTGCCAACAAAATGCAAAAAAGACATCGAATTGCCATGTTAGCTACATCACAGCAACAAACTTCTGTTCATTCATTTCTTACCACAAGCCATTTGCTAAGTGAAATTGCTCATTTAAACCCACCGACCAAAGTCGAACGGCGTGACGCAAGTATTATATTGAATGCAGATATTATATCCTTTGAATTCACTAGCCAACTGTGATCCCCACTTTTCATAATAACTACATTGCTTTTAAATTTAAAAGATTCTGGAAGCAATGATGTCATCTGGCCCCACATTAGCCAAAAACAGTGTCTCCAAAATTGATTTACTTTCAATTGCTGGCAATTGTGAAGGTTATTTGGCTGCTGACCTTAAAGCGTTTGTAGAACGCGCTATTCACGAGGGTGCAGTTAGACAAATGAAAGAAAAATCAATTGAGTTCATTGATGAGGATGACTTTCGGCGAGCTCAAAAAGACTTTGTCCCATTTTCACTTCGAGGGGTTAAACTTCAATCATCAGATGTTAGTTGGTCAGATATAGGAGGTGAATTTTATTACGGCATATTATTTAATTCTCTATTTGTTTTTAATGATTGATTGTTTATCCTAATTTAATGCTCAGGTCTTGAGGAAACTCGAAAGGTTTTACTAGAGACGTTGGAATGGCCAACTAAATATGCGCCAATTTTTGCAAATTGCCCGCTTCGATTGAGATCTGGGTAAATAGTAAATTTCTTTCAATCACAAGCTTATAAAATTAAACATCATCTTAATACATTGTTAGATTGCTTCTATATGGATTTCCCGGCTGTGGAAAAACTTTATTGGCTTCTGCAGTAGCGAAAGAATGTGGCTTGAATTTTATTAGTGTAAAAGGTCCAGAACTTTTGAATAAATATATTGGTGCAAGTGAAAAATCTGTAAGTACTATATTTTGTAATCACTTTAATATGGATATAAATTGAAAATTATTTATATATTGTTAGGTACGGGACCTTTTTGAAAGAGCTCAGGCAGCCAAACCATGTGTATTGTTCTTTGATGAATTCGATTCAATTGCACCTAAGAGGTTAAAAATATAGCTGTTTTTAATTCTATAAATAAAACTCTTAATGTTAATCAAAGAAGCTTTCTTAATTTTAGAGGTCATGATAGTACTGGTGTGACAGATCGTGTTGTAAATCAAATGCTTACACAAATGGACGGTGCTGAAGGGCTGGACGGGGTTTACGTGCTTGCAGCTACTAGGCAAGAACTTAATTATGCTATTTTTTGATTGTTTATTATAGAACATTCAATTGATAATAGTTATTTTCTTAGTCGGCCTGACCTTATTGATCCTGCTTTGCTACGTCCGGGACGTCTCGATAAATCTCTCTTTTGTAATATGCCTTCATTAGAAGAAAGAATTCAGGTAGATTTTGTCATAATTCAAATCACTTCCTTGTTCATTTTTATTAAATTAAATCATTATGTCTAGATACTAGAAGCGTTATCACGAAAAATGCATTTAAGTGAAGAGGTTGACTTGGAAGTGTTGGCCAAAAAGACCCAAGGATATTCTGGTGCAGATTTGCAAGCAGTATTGTCTAATGCACATTTAGAAGCCATTCATGAGACAATCGATTCCGAAAAGATTATTCAAAAGAATAATACATCGAATTCGGATACTAGTGAATTGAAATTTACTATGTTTCAAGCCAACACAAAGACTTCGAAGCCATCTTTGACATTAGCAGAGAAATCACTTATCTCTCAAAGAGTAATTGATTACTATCTAATGATTATTTTTCTTTTACTATATTTGTTACTAATTCGCATATCTTTAGTTGGCCTTGATTAGAAAAGGATTCGGTCCTAAAATACAAGAAGACAAAATAGAGACTAGAATAGAAGAGAAGAAATTAGTAATGATTTTTAAGGATTATTTTACTATATTTTATATATAAAAGAATTATATTGATAATATTTGCTTCATTATGCATAGTCTCTTATAAAGAATCAGCATTTAGAAAGTTCACTGAGAAATACGCGTCCTTCGATAACCCCAGAAGAATTTAAAAGATTAGCAGAGATGTAAGTTCTCATTTAAATTTGTTTTTTCATTCAGCTATCTAACGTAATTTCATATTTTTCCAGATATAATGAATTTGTCACCGGACGGAATGGTGAAATGCCAAGTGGAATATCAAGTCACGAAATTGGACAGCGATCCACACTTTGCTAATGAGCTATTGATAGACATTTGGAATCAAAAATATTATGTTGTAAAATTGTCATTTTTCCTGAATTCTTATATCATGTGATAAAAGGTATATGTCTAATTTTGGTCGGAATTAAGAATTAAAAACATAATCCTGGTTTGAATTTAGAACAATGTGAAGTATGAGTAACCAATTAAATTTTCGAAGATTAATTTTGAAAAATTTCCGGGTCCCTGATAAATTAGACTATTTGTACCCGAACATTGTTATATATAATATATAGTAAAAAGCACAAATAAAGTTCTTACATGTTCTTGTTTCCATCTTATTTCTCTTCTATCCATCGACATTCGATGATAGAAGTGATTTGTTGCACAAAAAATAATCTTGATTTTTCTTGTTTATGCTTTTAATTTTATGATGTAAGATATCATTTTTTGTACATGATTGATGTCATTTGTTGTACACAAAAAAATTAAGCATAATTTTTTTAATTAGATGCATATATGTGCCTCAATAGAACGTTTCATGCACGTAAAAAAGATTATCATTTCATCCATTATTCGACCCTCGTTTCGGTTTCTCCGCTGAACGGGCCTAATAAACTGATTTATGCTTATTTTTTGTATGATGATAGATCCGCAACATACATTATTCTTCAAAATAAAGTAACCCTTTTTAAATATTGAATGCAAAAGATTTGAAATCAAGATGTATTGATCGTGCGAGAATCAACTATCGATATTAATTAATTAATTAATAAGGTTGATATTTTGACATTATCATTTGATCTTTGATCTTTTTTACAAGCAAGCATTGCAGGAAATCATCAAGAACGTTCTTATAGTAATCCGCAAATGTGTATGGATTACTTTATTATAATAAAATATACGGCATTTTATGAATTATTGTTTAACGACGAATCAGTGAGTAAAATATATGTGAAAATAATGAAATTTTATAAATAAAATAAATACTAATTTAATAATTTATGGTGTCATCACATTATAGTAAGTAAAGAACATTTGCAAAGTGACAACTAATAATGATGAAATTTAATAAAGTTAAATTTTTTACTTTTATCTTTTGCAGTTGATTGTTTAACCCAACAATGGTGCAGTTTCTTCGCGTGAAGCAAAGAAGTATTTCTTGACGAGAGGTTTGAACGAGTGGAAGAGAGTAACAACGGAGAAGAAAAGAGCAGAATAGCGGATGAATAAGTCAGCTTGTCCAAGGTAGATGGTGAACAAGGTCCAGGCAATTACGAGAGCACCGGCGAAATCACCTTTGAAGTATTCAATGTAACCGACAGCAGTTGATTCGAGGAAGAGCAAACCAAGGAAGACCAAGATTTTAGTGATGAGTGTTGGTTTTGTGTCTTCCTCAGCTTCTTGGGTGAAGGCAGCAAAGAGATTTATGAGAACAATAACCAAGATCCAGGCATGGTAAAGGGAAAATGGTGCATGAATCCAAATCTTGTCATTGAGATTTTGGGCTGGATATTTGTTATGGAGGGTGTAGTAGACGAAGGAAACTTGCGAAGAGGTGATAAGGATGACAATGAAAGAGAGGATGAGATGATTAGTTTGCCATAGATAGAGCCAGAGAGTGTTCCAGAGGGAGATTGAAACAAAGTGCCAGTGGATGCCATCGGTGACTGGTTCGGTTGCTGTGCTAAAGAATTGATAGATGATGAAACCACCAAAGAGGAAGTGGATTATTCCCCAAATATAGAATGCATATTCTGCTGGCGTGATGAATGTGGGATGGTCTTCATGCCATGGGGATTGATCCTAAAGAGGGAGAGAGCGAAGAAATTTAATTTTCCAATTAGAGGTCAAATTTTTTAGTTTCTTTTTACTCACTTGATCTGGACCAGCTACTGAGTAAATATTGGCGCCGAGAAGGAAAAGGTAGACAAGAACATTGGCAAGTTTAATAACAAGAGGAAAACGTGCCATTTTGTGTTTTATATACGTTACTATATAATAAAGATGTAAATTATCTACAGAATATGTACAAAAAATAAAGCGTCACAATAGTTTAATGAAAATAAAATCGTGTAGCAAAAAGAGAATTTATTTTTTGCCAGTAAAGAGAAATCAAGTATGGGAAGCCCGTGTATTTAAATTGGTCTCGAATAAAATACAGGGTATTACGATAATCGCGTTATTATTAAGGATTGATAGGCATACGTTTTTTCATCGGTGTTAATTAGCCTATAATACAACCAAAAAAAGAAATATATTTATTTTATTTTTAATTATTATTTTTACGCCAATGTTGTTACATTGAGGTTAAACTTGTTTCTATTATCTTCTGTATGTGCGTGCATGTGCAACGTCCATGCTGTATAAAAAAAAAATGGTCAAAATGGCCTTATTATATCAATGTAATAAATAGTGGAAGATTCAATTGTTTACACACATCGTTTGTCTTTTTTCTTTGTTATACTTTCTTCGTTTCACAATAATTATGAAAAGTAACTTTCTTTTTCCAATTTAGCCGACAACAGCCAATAAGTAAGATGGGTTTGACAAATTAATTTTTTTAGTAGTAAATGTTTTTATTTATTGCATCATTTTTTATTATTATTGTTGTTCCGAAACATTAAGTTCCATATGATCCAATAAGAATTCTATATAATTACATTATGTTTATTGAATAGCTTCTTGGCGGGAAACTAACAGGAACCAAATTGACTTCGTCACTATGCATAAATCGAAATATGTATTTTTTCATTATTCGTTAGGACTGATGGATGAATGCTTTATCTCGATGATGAGTGTGATTTCCAAATTTGAAAGAAAGGCGCCGAAAAAATTTCCTGTTATCAACTAGAAACAGAAGCAGTCAAAGTCAAGTAATCTTACGCATGAATTATCCGTAGACTTGGACAAATCTGAATATTATTTATTTTACTAAAGAGACGAAATTTCGAGAAACAAACAGATATAACAAAAGACAAAGTCGAGATGTTCTTACATCTAAAATACCCCTTAATTTTTTATTCACATATTAATGAATGTGTTGGTGGAACAAAAACAATTTTATCCGGTTACGCAAGAAACTTAAAATTTTTTAAATTTATTAAATGCTACGGGTAATAGAAAAAGTGGAAAGTAAAAAAATATCACGATTATCATCTCGCGATGATTTTAAAATCGTAAAAGCGGCAACAATATTAAAACAAAAGACGCCCTATTACTAGTAACAGATTATTCACCAGAAACTTTAAATAGTCCTCCTATGTATTTATTTTTTAATGCATATCTATGTCAATCGCCTCTTTGATCATTCAAAATTAAATAATTATTATTGTACATGTGTAATATGTATATGCAACAACCCCAACAATCAAATCATCAAATAATGTTCTAGTAATTCGAGATTGGATGATGATGATGAGAAACAATGTTCGTTCTCTTCTTTCTTTATCTGACAGAAATAACTATCATATATATGGACAACAAAGTGATCATGCTCATCTGGCTATCTTGATATCAAACATACATAATTTTAATTTTATATTATATAGAAATTTCATAATTTGCCCATTGTTGTTTGAAAAATAAATATGTTAATAACAGTAAGTGTTTAGAAATATATATTAATATAAGTATAAAGAGAAGTTTTATGTTTTTTGATTCACTAGTTTTATTATAAAGCTGGTAATTATATTCGAATTCAAAAATTAAGTAAACATTAATTACTAGAAATCAGTATTATTATTAATAAAATAAAATAATCAGAATATAAAAAATAATCATTATTTAAAGTCTTTAATTTTATTTTACCAAAATAGAAATTATAATCTTAAATTTTAAATTTCTGAAAAAGTTATTCTAATTACATATAAAATAAAAATTTCAAAATATTTAAAGAAATATATAAATAAAAGTGGATATTTTGATAAAGAAGATATTATAATGACCGAAAATTATTCTTTTTAGTTAGTTTTTACTTAATAAATAATATTAACAAATATAATTATTTTATATTTACTTAATTATAAAGTATCTATTGTTGTAATAGTTTTTTAATATATAATTAAATTTCTTTATAAATATATTTTCAATTTCTTGTTTTTAAATAAAATAATTTTTAAATTTTAATAAATTTAAAAAACTTATTTAAATTTAAATATTTTAATTAAATTAAATTCAAATTCAAATATTTAAAAAAAACTTGACTAAAATTAATCTAAATATAGTGATAATTATAATTAATAGAATGCTTGGATTTTTTATTAATTATAATTAGTAAATATTTCAAGTATTATATTAATTATGATTATTATTAAATATTTATAAAATTTGAATAAATTTTTTAAATATATAAATAAATATTTTAATAATTTTATTTTAGTTATTTGAATATTAATTTTAATATTAAATATATTTTTTATATAATAAATATATTATTAAAATTAATATTTATAATTTATATTTTTATAATAATTTATTTTTATATTTTTTATTAAATATTAACTTAGAAATTATAGAAAAAATTTATTAAAAAATTATTAATAATATTATAGCAAAATTAATAAAATTATTTATAAATTATAAACTTAAAAAATAATATTATAATTAAATAAAATTATTAAAAATAAAATAATTTATAATTATTAATAAAATATAGTAAAAATTAAAATTTTCTTTCTATATTAACTTTATAATTTTATTAAGAAATAATTTTTATTTTTATATTAAAATAAAATTTATAAGTTATAGTTTAATATATATTTTTTTAGATTTTTTAGATTTTTTCAAAGTTATTCTAATTATAAAGTTATCACAAATTTTTTTCTAATTAAATTTTATTTTTAATTAGAAAAAAATTTTATAATAACTTTATAATTAGAATAATTCTTTTTAAAAAAAATCTAAAAAATATATATTATAATGATAATCAAAAGTAATAACTTAAAAATTAAATTTATTAATAAAATATAATAAAATTAAAACTTTTTCTTTATATTAAAATTTATAATTTTATTAAGAAATCATTTTTATTTTTATATTAAAATAAAGTTTATTAGTTATAGTTTAATATATATTTTTTTTAAATTTTTTTTAAAGAATTATTTTAATTATAAAGTTAATACTAAAATTTTATTCATTTTTAATTAGTATAAATTTTTTGTATTAACTTTATAATTAAAATAACTCTTTCAGAAAAAATCTAAAAATCTGAAAAAAATATATATTAAACTATAACTAATAAATTTTATTTATATATAAAGAGAAAATTTTTATTTTTATTATATTTTATTAATAAATTTAATTTCTGAATCATTACTTTTGATTACTACTGTAAATTATAACTTATAAGCTTTATTTTAATATAAAACTAAAAATTATTTTTTAATAAAATTATAAGATTTAATATAAAAGAAACTTTTAATTTTTATTATGTTTATTAATTCCTCTAATTTTATCATTATAAGAGCTATTATATATAAAAATAATATTTTTAGTCAATAAAATTTAATAAATTAATATAAATTTATTTTTAAAATAAATTTATTAAAAATAAAAGAAAATTTTAATTTTAATTATATTTATATTTTTATTACTTGTTCAAGTATATTAATAAATTCAGTATAACTTAAGATCAAGCAGTCAAGACTGGAGCAATTATAATTTGAACTTTATTATATTATCTTTTTATATTTGATTGAAGAATTGGTTGTAATCTTGGAAAATTTAAAAGTTAGAAAGTTTCACTAATATAATGTTCTTTCCTGACTATTTAATAGAATCTATCAGAAAAATCAGTGAAATTGTGACATGTGTGACGTTTGATAATGTTTATGTATTATTTATTACACGCGAGATCACCCTTACATTATTTTCGGTTTTTACCTATTTTTTAATATTAATTAGTCACAACATAATAATAAGCAATTTGAATAGTACTTCAGCGTATTTGGAACTTGTATAGGATTAGAATGATGTAATTGTGAAACATCCAAGAAGAAACCAAAAGTTTCCGTTTCTTTGAATCAAAGTGTGTTGTAAAACACGGAAAACTTCCCGGTGGTACAAGATATTGATGAGTTAATTACTATATCTATATCTCTACCTTTTTTGCACGATTTGTCAAAGAGTAGGTTCTAGATAGAACCGATTGGAACCGGTTTGAACTCGTTCGGTTCAGCTAATTTATATAGAACCGCTCCAATTTGAACCGGTTCAGTTCTATATAAAAAACCAAACATGAACGAACCGAACCGAACCGTCCCTATATCAATGTGCCCGGTTCGTGATCACGTGCACAACACAATCCAATAAGAATGCGCAAATTTCTAGAAAATGAAAAAAAGGAAGAGAAGTTCTATTAAAAATGATCATGTGATCAGGAACCAGGCACAGATTCAACAGAGATTATTTAGGGTTTAAATTTACACATGATTTTGGTTGAAAAGTAGAACTTAATCGAGGGGTAGCTTATTTATATACAGTAATTACAATTTAATCAGTGAATATAGTTTTTTGTTTTATAAATTCATTTAAATATTAAGGATTATATTCTCAAATTATTTTTATTTATTAAATTTTATTAAGAATTCCAGTAGACAGACTTGTAGGTATCAAGAAAAAATTTAGTAGTCACATATGTTCGAGTTGCGTGCAAACAAAATACATTGTACGCAACTTTACTTTAATTTGCACAATTATAGTTCGATAAGTGTTGGCATATCTCGTTATGTATTATATCTAACTAACCAATCAACCAAACGCTCACGTAAACTACGGATATTTGGTCACGAGTGATTTGCAAAATTTAGATGACCCATAATGACTGGTCATTTTAAGAAGATTTGTAACCATTTTAAACTCGCATTAAACCACATACTAGCTTAGAATTAGGCTTTTACAATCGCTACCGTTCATAATGAGATTTGAGACAAAATAAAATTTGTGCTCAAATCAAGGCTCGATTTAACGACTATGTGTTTTTACAGAAGTAATATCCATAATTTAACGATATCCATTAGTATCTCTCAATTTTTTAAATCTGATTACCGATTAGTCGTTAAATCGAGCGATCTACTAATATAATTTCCTTTGGTATAACAATTTTCGAAAATAAAGGTATTACGATCATGAATGTGATCAACAATATATTCTGAGTTCAAGAAATTCTCAAGAAGTGCCTGCATTTATATATATTTATGTAATCAACTTTTATTATGTTAAGATAAAGGTTGAAATACGATACGCTAAATTACTATAATATCTCTGAGCCGCCTATTAATAAAATTAATTAGAATTGAAGTCTAAGGAATAAACAAATTTTAAGTCATGCCAAATAAATCACAAATCTTTTTTAAAAAGATCACATCAAATAATCACTGATTATTTATGTCGAAATCGCTAATATATATAATTGAGTTTTCTCTGTAGTCAATTAAATGAAACCAACAAAGAAAATGTATTCAAAAATACTCGCGCTTATACTACAAACAAGCTTAATGTGGTACGCTTCAATTATCGCAGCGATTACTTTTAAGCTTCCAAACAAAACATCAGATTCCCCTAATGAAGAAATAATTTCTATTTCATCATCTTTACGCCCTTTATCATCATTGTTCATTGATTTTCGAAGATGTTCCTACACTCTCTTTATTCTTGCCAATATTTATTTCATCCACATTGAACAAGTATCGGATAATTGTCGCATTGTAAAACCAGGACAACTCAGTCAATCGCCATATGCACAGCAGCCTCCTTTTCCTCCGCTCTCTTCATGGACATTATCCGACCTAATTTTCATCTCACTTGGAATTCTGGGTGGCTTATTCAGTGTATGGAGTTTCACAACTCTCTCTTTGAAAAGTCAAAAGTCAACAACTGCAGCAGGCGATCGTCAATATGGATTTCACTATTTTCTACGATATCCCCTCTACCTGTTATATTCTGGGTCGATTTTTCTGGAATGGAGTAAACTGTATTTGGTTTGGCGATTGATCAAGTGGATGCCGAGATGGTTTCAGCGTGAATATCGAATCTGGTTTATATGGGGTTTGCTAGTTGAAAGCTGGCTACTTGTTGCCGAGATTTTTGTAAAAATGAAGATGATTGAGAAAGATGTTTTGCTTAAAGGACTGATCGGATTCTCTAAACCAGTCGTTCCTTTATCGATAGAAAAAAAATAAATATTGTATGTGCATTTTGCATTTAATTATTTCTCGTTTTTAGTGAGATAACGCGCGCGCTATCCATCTAATAATCTTTATAATATATGTATTATATATTTAACAGTTATACTACTGCGCTGTAACAGGTATGTACGTAAATCGATATCAAAACAGGAAATTACTAAAGGTAGAGTGAATGGTATCTCTGTTTCGTAGAAATCCATTAAAAAAATTCATTAAAAATAAAGAGAAGTGTGTTTTTTTTTTGAGATTTCGAGAATAAATAGTTTTATTTACAAGATGAAAATAAATTCTGGTTTTATTTCTATGGTAAAGAGTCAAGTTAAACTAAAAATACGGTCAGACCTCTTCTGACTGCACATGCAATAATAATTATTATTAGTAATCTAAAATGATTATTCCAGTCCAACATCTACGCAATCACGCCAACTATAATTCTCGATATTCAACATTGCATATGGTAGCCTCTCTTCAACCCTGGTAACACTGATTCCTTTTGAAACGCTTACTGTGTTTCTCCTTGCCGTGTTGAACCTTTCGATGACACCATCATCGAATCGTAATTGGCAATCAATGTTAAATTTTTTGTTGACATGATTATCTTCCGATCTGGAGTTATTAATGTTATCATAATTATCATCGAAATTAGTAATTAAATGATGCGTTTCTACGGTGGTTGGTCTTTTTTGCAACGATTGATAATTGATACATGAATCATCTTTGCTCTCGATCGTGGGTATTGATCGATTGTTAAAAAAATCTTGTCTCGAGGGAATATTGACAAGAGGATTGTTTGATGTTAGAATTGAAGAAGATAATGGAGTGGGAATTAAAATTGATTCATTGCTACTATTATTACTACAACTATTACTACAACTGCTACTCAAGCTGCTACCACTACTAATAATAATAGAATCATTAGCGATAGCATAATTATTAGATTGTTCTCTGTTGAACGTAAAATTCTCCAACAATACTAATTGTTCATCATTAATATTGTTAGCATCCTCATTGAATGTGGTGAAATGTAACACTTCATTATGATGATTAATGGCGTTTCTCTTATTATCATCATCTGCACCTGTAATGTTCACATTAGTCGATCGAAAATATTCAACCAAATTGTGTGTCTCTCTATCATCGTCGTCGTTGTTGTTATTATTACTATTGTTGTTGTTGTTGTTGTTGTTGTTGTTGTTGTTGTTGTTATTAATGTTGGTGTTATTTTGCTGCACATTTTCATTTTCTACGAGATCGTTAACTGGGATTATTATTGTCGATTCTTGCTCTTCTAACGAATCGTTGCCACGACGAATACTGCTATCGTTGTGACTAATAATGTGCTCTTCAACTTGCTCTAGTTTTTCATAATAAAGATAACGTTGAAAGTGTTGTAAACGATTTCTGATTATGATGAGAACGAAAAAGAAACCGATAAAACTTGAAATTGCTATTAATGATGTTGAAATTAAGTCGTCATTATAATACGAGTAAGGTTCTATCGGATTAGAGGATATAATAACATTGTCTTCATCGTCTTGTAACCGCGAGAAAGAATAATAATCTGGAAACTGTTCTTGTCGCTTTTGAAGCTCATTCATTATTATTTTCGTCTTTTGCTAGTATCTTTATGGAGAAGGTATCGTGAATAATTATGATGACATAGAGACAAAGGGAATTTTCCCTCTGGAGACACCAATGGAATTTATAAACTTTTTTTATTATCGTTGAAAGATCGTACATGTGCATGTACATACATGTATACACAAAAGTGTTTGCTTTCTTTGCGCCCGTGTTTTACAAAAATTAAATTCATAATTAATCCCCGCCTTCAAGTTAACTACTACACAAGAACTACTATTATCTCAATCTCGCTGCCTTTGTTTGTTTATTACAGCTGAGGTAAGAAAATTTATCCCACGCTTTTTTTCCTATTATTACATAGAGTTCCATTTACTCATTTTAATATCAGGCAAAACGTACATACATACCATACGGAAGAAAGAGACAATTCGTATGTATGTACGTATACATGGTATGCATCATGCACACATAAATACATATAGCAAGGGCAAAACGATGATAACTACGATAAGCGAAAACAATACCTTATAAATTTCACATGCAAATATCGGTTTCACTGCATCGTGTCTAAACATTTTTCGGCACACACCGTTTCTAAGCTAGAAGTGTCTTTTTTTTTAAAAAATACTTTTTTCCGAACTGAAAGAAAATAAATGACCAGAGGAAGTTCTCTCGCTGAAGACTTGCGACTCGCATTAAATAATCCACAATATAGTGACTTGAAAATCTTTTGTGAAGACAGTAATACGGGGGAACATGGCGAACAAGTTCTATATGCGTCCAAAATGATATTAGCCGTTCGTTCGGAGATATTTGACCGTTTACTCTATAACGGTATGAAAGAAACAACACAGGGCGAGATAACTTTCCCGGAAATAAATTTGTCCGCAATGCAAGTTATTCTAGAATTTATTTATACGGGTACTATCTCGAATGACGCGCTGACAATTAATAATGTAATGGGAGTTTATCACGCCGCTGATTATTTTTTGTTGCCTGATTTACAGAATACAGTCGTGGAATTTGTGCAAAAAATAGCTCAGGATCATGATATTGATCTGGCCGCGAGTCTTTTGTCCATCGTTGCACAAAAAATGAATCCCTCTAATGACGATAAGTTGTTTAAATTGTTGAGTAAATGTGTCGCCGCAACGTCTTTGGATTCGATTAGTTATGATAAGTTGAATTCAAGAGCTCTTGAAGTATTATTGCAACAAACGATGAATGATACCAATGAATATTTCGCTACAACTGAATATGAAGTGGTTCGATATCTCATTTTGTGGGCTGCAAACCAAATTTCACCTGATGCTGTTACATACTTTAACACACGTTTGCCGCCAGCAAATACAATCAATCATGAAATTTCGAGATCAGTACAAGAAAGAGGCGATGAAGATGAAATCGATCCACAATTAACTCAATATCAACCATTAATTGTCAAAATTTTATCCCCAATAATTCGTTACGTTGATTTACGATTAATTCACGCGGATATATTAGCAAATGTAATAGAACCATTACAAGTAGTACCAGCAGACAAGCTATTAAAGGCCTATCGATTTCACTCCATTAATCAAGTCCTTCGCTCTACTAAACGAGGACTACCATGCTTCCGATGGGATAAATCGGCAGTTGGTCCAAACCTAATGGTTAGTGAAGATAAATCAATTGTTGAAGCTCCACCAAATTTGACTATCCATGAATCTGCTCGGGCTACGGAACTTATAACGGGTACAGGAATCTACGAGTGGGATATAGTTATTGAAGAGAATTGTGGATACGCTTGGATTGGAGTGTGTGCCGCGGAAGGTGTTGACTTTGGAGTTTTTTTAGGCGGGCAGGCAACAGGATGGGTAATTGGTTCATCGGGATCTGCGTATCATGCAAACAGAGCGACTCCGTATGGATCACCATTTGATAAAGGGGCTACTGTGACCGTTCATTTGGATATGACGAATAGAACTATAGCATTTTCGATTGATGGTTCACGACAGCCGATTGCTTGGGCTGATATCCCATCAAAAGTTTATCCTGCTGTTTCATTAAATGCTCCGGGTAGATTTCGTATTAAACCACATATATAATAATAATAATTATTATTATTTTGGGATTCATGGTAATGGTGGTGCATTGATGGCTAAAGATTCTTTTGTTGATACTTACAATAGACATGGGATGGGTAGAATTTTAATACTTATATTTAATATTTCGAAATCGGGTTTAATTAATTGATTCCAACAAGGATAATTATATCGAAATTTCTTGATTTGATACATTGATGACTCCTTATGAGTAAAGATTCTCTAATGACAGAAAGAGAATACGTTTTTTTCAAACATTTCCTTTACGTTGTAGTATAACGTTTCCCTTTCTGATGTTAATTTTTAATTTCTACACAACAATATCGATATTCTTTTTCGGGGATGATAATAATAATTTTTTTTGTTCGACCAAACAAATCTCCTTGTATATATTATAATAATAATAATAATAGTAATAATAATTGTTCTTTGTTTTATTCTATTTCAACCAATCATTAAATTTAGTTACTTCAACTCCATTTTCGGGCATTAGACAAAAAAAGAAATGATGATTTGCACGCATTTGCATACAGTTAATTAAAATGTGACGCGTAAAAAGATATAAAATTAACGGCCGATTGATTCACACATCCTTAGCAGTGTCGTCCCTTGCTCAAACGCGTGTTTTTTGTTCTCCTTTTCTGTGTTTTTTTAAAGTGTCCGCCTGGATTGCGGTTTCCTTTTAACTTGTTCGTCTCTTGCTTTTCTCTTCTCCTTCGAGGTCCTTCAAAGCTTCTGTTTCGTAAAAGGACGTTTCTTATTTAAAAATACCGCAAGTTAGTAGTCAGTCTGACTGGTTTAGACAAAGAATAATTTTAATCAATCCTTCAAGCTGGTCATTTCCAATAAAATGCAATATCCTCGATCCAACTCGAAGAAATCATCTTTCACCAGTCTATTTCAATTCTTCTTGCTACCTTTACTCACAATTTTCTTCGTCACAACCACCACAACGGTAGAAGCATCAACATGGGTAATAAATGTGGGAGATGGTGGACTAAAATTCAATCCTGACACGGTAACAGTCGCGCCAAAAGACACGGTAATGTTTAGTTTCTTAAATGGTCCACACGGGGTAACTCAATCAACTGGGCCAAAATCTTGTAGCCCTTTGAACGGTGGGTTCAAATCGGATGTTCTTTATGTGAACGGTATGTTCTCCCTTAAAGTTGGTAGTGGACTTGGAAAGGTAAATTTGGATATTTTTTATTTGTCAATTTCTTCTTTGTTCCTCGTATTAAATGTTTCTTCCGTTTTTTTAAGATGTATTATTATTGTCAAGTTGGACAACATTGTGCGCAAGGAATGACCGGAACAATAAACGTAGTCGCCGCCGCCAATTCCAGCTTTAATACAAGTTCTGGTCAAGTAAACAGCACCGCGAGTTCAGTGGTGCTAGGCAGTAATAATGATGCTAGCCATGGAAAAGGTTCGACTTCAGTGCTAACAGTTACTATTGGAGTATTAGCTTCGAGCTTTTTCATGGCTATTATGTTGTTATAAACGAGAACAGCAATCTTACCATTAGAAAGAACAATTGAAAGACATTTTAAATTGTAGTTTATTTGTAGATATTATTTTTATTTCAAAATTATTACATACCGAGAAGATTGAGGAGGGAATGAAACAATTACATCAGCAACTGATTTTCGTTTTGTATATTAGATCAAAGATAAACTTGTAACTTGAAAAAACACAACAAACACGTCAAACGCATTATCTTATTTTGTTAATGAAAATCTGAATGAGACGCAAAAACACCATTACCTATATCTTCTTTCATTTTGATCACTCAAATAATTTATTAATAGCTTCTAATTTACATTAAAAATAAAAATCAAAATGCTGCCTAAATGCCTTTAAATCTCTTTGATCACACTTTTCCACCAAATCTTGTCGATTCATAGCGGCACAACACATTTTCAATGTATGCCAAATGTCAGAGCTCATGACTGTTGGAATGAGTAAAGGTCCACCAGCCGAGCCAACACCAACAACTTCGTCATATTCCAGATCAATATCCAAATCTTGCAATGCTAAGGACGCTAATAAATGTTCCGCGGCTTCATGAATTTGTCCCAAGTTTAAGCAACTGACGGCAAGATTATATCGGGCTCGAATAAAAGTAGGTTTAATCTCGAGTGCGTTGAAATATGCTTTCATGGATTTTTCCGGCTGGCGTGAAATCGTATAAGTTGCGCCCAGTCTATTCCATAGTAAGTAATCCTAAACAACGTAGAAATGGTTAAGAAATTGTTTTCATAATTAAAAAATCCAACATAAACCATCGACATCTCTTACATTAGGTCTCACTGAAAGAGCAGCTAAGAAACAATCAATCGTTTTATCATATTCTTCCGAGACATGAAATAAAATTCCTAATCCTATTTGCACTTCAGCGTCGATATACTGAGGATTAGAACTTGCAGCTTGTAAAAATGAATCTGTGATCAATTTGTGATGATTTGATCCTGATCCTGATCCTTTGGCACATTCTCGTTCATATATTTGTGCATATTTGTCATGATTTCGTAGCCAGGATTCTAACGCGTTGTATATCTCTGGACGAATGTTCCGATTCGTATAGGATACTGCTAGAGCCATCCATCCATCCGAAAGTTTAGGATTTAAGGATACCGCTTTGCGTAAAGCGGCAATTGCATGCTCATCTAGTTCATTCTCTTGTTGCCGAATTCCAAGTAAATGCCATGCATCAGCATTAAGTGGATCCAATCGAACAGTTGCTTCCAAAGCTAAAATAGATTCTTTTAGATTTCCATGCTGTACGCTTTGTTTTAGAATATGATCGGGAGTTGAAAGATAAGGATTGTTCGGTTGAAATTTGTAATTCTTATTTTCGTCTGAATCCTGATAGCCTGCATGATGTGGTATATATCGATCCCAGTCGCTTTGTAATTCATCCCAATTTATATCACCCGATTCTTGTGTAATTTCAGTGGCATTATTATCATATTCATAAGAATCTTCGGCCAAATTACTTGAATCTATCATATTTTTCGTGGCATCACTTTTTCTCTCTTCAGCTTCCAATTTTTCAGCCTCAGCTCGAAACTTTATTAATTTTGATATTGGAAGAAAGTTTTCTCTTATAGCATATTCATTCCATTGACGTTCAAGTTCTTCATTGTAGTTATTTATTTCAAGATCATCCGAAGAATTTTGCTCAGATTGTTGAAATTCAGGTGCATAGTCTATTAATCCTTTAGTCTTTAATGCTTGCTGTCGAGCGGAATTCTGATTCCATTTTCTCTCAAATTCCTCATCAAATCTTTCCCGTTCCTTTCGCAGTTTAACTTCCAGATCTGTGCTTGCTTTTGAAGGTTCCTTGAATGCGTTATTATTTGTCATTTGAAACTCTGATACCCAATCTATAGTAGTAGTAGTAGTAGTATTGTTCTGTATTTGACCAAACTCGTTAGCCCAGCTAAGATTTTGATGTTGATTTTGCTGTGCCTCAAATTCAGATATCCATCCATTTTTTGGTATTGTCGCTGCAGTTTTTTGTTCAACAACTTTATTTCCTTCAATAGAAAGTTCCTGGTCACGGAGCTTTTTCATAAAATTTAAGAATACAGAATTCTTAAATTTTGGATTGGTCTCGCCCTCTACCGTTTCCACTAATTTACCGGCTGTTATAGCTAATTTAATTTTAGAATCGTTGGCCTCTTGTTCCTTTTCAAATTCTGTCGCCCAAGATGTTCCCTCGTCAATAATAAATTCGGACCGTTCATCCAACCCTAAATAAAATATAATTGATTTATTGATTTCCTTTATCGTATAAAGAGATAAACAGTGGTGCTATTTTTAATTCTCCCTATATATATATACCCTTCTTCGCTTCATCGAATGCTTTTTCAAAAGCTGCTTCTTCTTCAGGTAATAGCTCTTGATTCTCGTTACTTAATTGTGATTGACGAGTAATTTGTGAAAACTCCTGAGCCCAATTAACTTTAAAATATCAATTACATTAATTATATGGTCTAGTAGATTCTCGCGATATCTAACAAATGAATGATCATGTACCTGGCGTAGGGGCAATAGCATTCTGTGAATAGACTTTCTCGAAATATTCTTGCTCATGACTATAAGAATTAGGCGGTTGACTCGTATTTGCTTGCTTTAAAAATTCATTTGTCCAATCACTCGTGTTTATCGTTGTTACCCCGTGCTGTATCGCATTGAGCTCTTTACCCATTTGGTCAAAATGAAAAACTTCATCGATTTGCGTTTTGTTATCGAAAAATTGGTCAGGAATCTAACAGAATCAATAAGTTTCTTATGTAATTTATACTTAAGTAAAAATCTAGTCAATACACATCTATCTACCTGATTTTCTTCTAAAGGTATTTTTCTGCGAGTTCTAAATACCTATAATTCAAATATATGAATGCTCAGTTAAAGAATGTGCATAAGTGCTTAAGTAAAGTGAAAAAACTTACCCCTCGAGAAGAGCCTTCACTAGAAGAATCTTGTAGAAATCTATCCTATATAGAAGATGCGCTTATTTTGAATATAACACTTCTTTTTTGTGGTAAAATAATATAGTATGCACCTTTTGAAGAGACTGGTCATGTGTTAAATGCCTTACTAATCCAGTCGTTGGGTTAACTGGATTACACTCTGCTCCTCCAGAAATCAAATGTAAGAACGACATCGTGTTAAAGTCTTATTGGAATAATGCGTGATTAGAAAAAAGGTATTAAATTTTATCCATCTAATTCTCATTATCTATGTCAGAAAATGTTATCTATGTGATCATGTTAGGACATTCATATGATTGGCTGATGCAAATCAATTGCCCGGGTAATACCCGGGTAACATTTCACAAAAAAAAATATGAACCATTGCAAGATTGATACATCAATATAAAAATTAATAATTGCTTCTAATAAAAATCATTCAAATTTTAACTAATCTTTATAATT